GTCCCTATTGAATAATAATAACAATGATAACTAACATTTACATAGCACTTTAAGGTTTGCAAAGTTTTACATTTTACCTCATTTGATCATCACAAAAACTCTGTGAAGAAGGTAATAGTATTTCCCCCATTTTACAGATGAAGAAATTGACACTGAGAAACATTAAGTAAATGCCCAGGGTCATATGTAAATGCGTCGTTCCTGTTTAATCCCTTCTATTTGCTCCAATGTATTTACCTTTTCTATTTTTCTGGCCTTTGTTCTAAATCTATTTATTTTGCCTTTTGGAATATTGTTTTTCTTCTCTCTTTTAGTATAGAAGCTGCCAAATCTTGTGCGATTCTGAAGACAGCTCCACAATGTTTGACCTATTTTGTTTTTTTTCAGGATGCCTGCATCAATTTTTTCTTTGACTTGGAAACTCTAGATTTTGGCTATGACATTCTGGGCACTTTTCGTTTTAGACTTTTTTTTTCAGGAGGTGATCAGTGAATTCGATTTTCATTTTGCTTTCTGCTTCTAATAGGCCCGGGAAGTTTTTATTTATGATCTCTTAAAATACGGCATCCAAACTAATTTTTTTGGTCTTGGCTTTCATGTAATCCAATGGTTCTTAGATTTTTTTCCCCTCAGTGACCTGTTTCCCAAGTCAATTGTTTTGATAAGAAGTATCTTATATTTCTTTTTCTTTTCTTATTTTAAGTCTTTTGGTCATCTTCTAACATATATTCTAGTTCCATGAAGTCATTCATTTGTGTTTTATTCATCCTAATTTTCACAGAATCTATTGTAGGTTAGGTTTTGTACCTTTTGTGTTCATCTGTTCATTCTTCCAAGACTTACCTCTAGAGTTCTTCTTTCTTTTCAAATTCTTTCCACAGGAGATCTCATTTCATTGATTGGGAGCTCCTGGCTCCATAATGGATCTTATTGTGGGTGTCTTACCGTGGTTGTTTGTTTTCTCATTCTTTTATCTTTAATTCCAGAATTGAGAGTTTGGGTTAGGGCTAGGCTCTGCACTCTTATGGAAGGGATGCCTGGGTCTCGATGGGTCCTGCTGGGTATTGAGTTCTCTGTTCCTCGAGGATATAAGGAGCGGCTCAGCCCCTACAAGCTTTCAGTGTAGCCTAAGCAGTCTTATATAGGGAGATGTTTGATCACTATCTTCCTAGGCTGAATTTTGCAGGCTCCTCACCCAAGTTTGGGTTTGGTTGAAACTTCTCTAGCCTGGCCCAGAGTTGGAGCACCCATAGATGCTGCTGGCCCCAGGCCAGGCCCTGCCGGCTAGCTAGAAGGGTTTCAGGGGCTGAGTGATAGAACACAAGCTGGCCTTGGTCTCTGCTAGCTGCCCTGCGCACTCAGCTCGAGGCTGCCAGACTGAATGTGCAAGCTCCATGAGAGGTCATAGCCAAACAGCAGCAGCTGCCTCCTTTTCCTGGTCTTTGTTCCATGCTTAGTTTTAGGCCTGATTGTGCTCATCTGTGACCTTTTCCTCAGTCCACGTCAGACTTCTGGGTCGGAGGACCCAGCTGCACAGCCTTAGGTCCCTTTATGCTGGGTTAGTGATCAGAGCCCAGTGCCCAAGCTGGAAGGAGGCTCTACCTGGGCCTTCCTGACTGGACTCCCTTCCCACTAACCCCAGGCCTCTGGTTACATCCTTTTGCTGACCTGGGCTAGAAATATGACTCATTGAGGGGAGATTTTCCATCCAATCTCCTTGAATTTCTCAGTCTTGGTCAGGCAATTTTCCTTAAGCTTTGTAGCTGGGCTATGCTGCTTCTTCCTACTTTGTAATCTTTGCTGATTTCTATTGAATTTCATCTTTAGATCCTTTTGAATCCTGACTCTGTCATCCACTCTGCTAAATATCCCTTCCAATTTTGTGCCATCTGTCAATATGATGTGCGCTCCATTTGTGCCTCGGCCCAAGTCGTCAATAAACCTGTTAAACAGCACAGAGACCAGTACACGTCCCCAGGGCACTCCCCTAGAGTGTTCTTGCCATGCAGACGATTAACCATTAAGAGTGCTCTTTGAATCTGGTTATCCAACCACTCCTGGATCTATTATTAACTAGTCCACTTTTCTCCATCTTCTCCACAAGAATAGGTGGGAGACACTTTCTCAAAAGCTTTATTAAAATCTGGATGAACTGCATCCATAACACTCTCCTCATTTACCAGGTTAATAATTCCCAAAAAGGAAACGGGGTTGGTCCAGCATAACCTGTGCTTGATGAAGCAAGGCTGGGCCTTTGGAATCACTGTTTCCCTTCCCAACAGTCTCTTTAATGAACCCTTCTAGAATTTTGTCAGAATTCAAAGTCAAGTTCACTGGCCTACAGTTCTGTTCTCTTCCCTCTTTGGAAACTGGGACATCTGCCCTTCTCCAACCTCCTTGTTTCTCTTTGGTTTCCCTTGATCTTTCAACTATCACCATCAATGGTTCCCCAAATACACCCACCAGTGTGAATGGTGAGTGAGGGGGTGTAATTCATCACGGCTGTGATTTGAGTTCCTCAAGGACAACCAAGGATTCTCTTGCTATCTCCTCACTTCTGTGGTGTCACCTCCCTGTTAGGCCTTTTTTTCTGTTATTTCCAATGCTAAGGTCATTCTCCTTTGCAAGAATAAAAAATAAAGAATTAAGCAGTCCCATCTACCATAAGCAAAGTTCCTTTTTTTTTCTATCAATGTAGCTTTAGAAAAAAAAAAGATTTTTAAAAATTACACTTAGCTTCCCTTGTCATCCTCAGCTAATTGTGGTTTTTAGTACTTCTGATGCTACTTGTATAAGACTGAATATAAGGCACGCCCGCAGAGTCGTCTTGCATTGCCTGGTCTTGCTTCCATCATTTGAATTTTTCTTTTTCAAATTCAAGTTGGTTGGGGAGCTCTCTGCTCAACCACGTCCATCTTTTCAGATAAATACCATTATTCTGCCCCATAAGAATTAGTTCCCTCTGTGTCTTGTGCATGTCATTCTGGAGCACTTCCTGTCCCTCGTAAGCTGACTTCCTCTGTCACATTTTAGATCATGGGGTCAGACCTGTCATTCCTCTGAATCCTTGGAAATCTGCTTTCCCCAAATCTAGCATGCGTGTCAGCCTATGCAGAGGCAGCTGGGGGCACAAGGTGAGCGCCGGGCCTGAATTCAGTAAGACCTGAGTCCAAATCTGGCCTCAGACACTTACTAGCTCAGGGACCCTGGACAAGGCATTGGACTTCTGCTTTCCTCCGTTTCCTCATCTGTAAAGTGGGCATCATAACAGCACCTACCTCCCCAGGGTTGTTGTGGAGATCATATGAGATAATAATCACAAAACACAGTGCCTGGTGCATAGTAGGTACTTAGCCAATATTTCTTTCTTTCCCTTCCCTATGCCCAGATTTCCCCTCCTCTTTCACACATACACTCCTACATCACTTCCTCCTAGGGTCCCCATCTTTTCTACTCTGATAGCAAGATTCGAATTCAGAATAGACCACCCTACCCCACTTCGCCTCCCCCCCACCCCAATGCTTTAAGGATGAATTGGCACTAAGGTAAGTCCAAAAGTTCTTAGCTGCCCTGAGAGACAGAGACAGAGAGGAAGGGAGAGGGGAGAGAGAGGCATAGAGACAGAAACTGAGAGATAGGAGAGGAGAGAGACAGAGAGGAGAGATAGAGACAGAGAAACTTAGAGATATGGGGTGAGGGGAGAAAAAGAGATGAGGGAAGAAGAGAGAGAGAGAGAGAGAGAGACATAGAGACAGAGACTGAGAGATAGGAGAGGAGAAAGAGACAGACACTGAGAGATATGGGGTGAGGGAGGAGAGGAAGAGACAGAGACAGAAAGAGGCTCCAACAGGTGTCTGGCTCCTGGAAGTCTCCCATCAGAGACCGCCTATCCAGTTATAATCCTGTACATCCCCTCCCTTTCCTTCCTGTCTGCAGTGCTCTCCCTGACTAAGCGATGAGCCTCAGTCGTGACTCTGCCTGACCATGCCGAGGCACCCTGCCCTTGACCTAAGGCTTGAGGTGTTCTTGTCCAGGAGGGCTAATTGCACGCTTGACCATGTATACTTCGACCTCTTCCCCTACCCCTGTCAGTCCTCCTGCAGCCTCACAAACCTCCAGAAATCTCAGAACCCCCAGTGTGCCGGTCGCACCGTGCACTCTCCTCCTATAAGGAGCAGGCTGCCAGAGTCATACTTACCAGTCTTCGGTGCCCACCCGGATAAACACAGAGACGAGCCGATCAGGAGGTGCAAACACTCGAGCTTTATTCAGAGGCCATCACAGCAAGGCCAAGCAGGAAAGCCAGAGCAAGAGAGAGAAAGCTCCGATCTCTACTGTTCCTTAAGTACCTACTTAGCCCCTCCTCCTCAGCCCACCTACTAGTCATTGATTGTAGGATAAGATACCGGAAGGGGATGTCTGGGTTTAGTGTTGCACCAAGGGAGAGGACGTGACGGACCGGATACAGGAAGGAGGCGTCTGGGGTTAGTGCATAGACAAAGGGAAAGTACGTGACCCAGGAAGTCAGGAAGGAGACGTCTGGGGTTGACTTTGTACCTAGGGAGGCGACTAGACAAAGGGAACTCGTTCTCTGCCGTCCCACTCCCACGTGGCACAGCCCCCTGCCTCAGGAGCACGTGCTCCGGCTACTTCCTTGTATCCTGTTCCTTCCCCAGCTTATCACAACTCCGCCTAGCACAGCCCCTGCCTCGGGAGCATGAGCTCCGGTTACTTCCTAATATCTTGTTCCTACCCCATCTTGCCACAACCTGCACTTGGCAGTAGCCAACATCAGACAATCCCTCACACCCCAGAACCCCTCGAGACCATCTGATCTGAGCCCTTCATTTCAGAGAGGACTGAACTGCAGCCTGAGAGAGAAATGACTTTTCCAAAGTCACCCAGCAAGTGAAGGAGAGAGGCAGCTCCGAGCTATGGCCAGGCACATGATGGGGGTTGGGTGGGGCATGGTTGGAGCCATTGTGAGATTCTCTTTGCAGAGATGAGATGACTGGAGCGTACTTCAAATACAAGGGCATCAACTTCCCTGTGGGCATCTACACCCCAGAGACCTTAAGCTACGTTGAGAAGGACTTCAAAGTCAGGGATGACGACATCTTCATTGTCACCTACCCCAAGTCAGGTAAGAGGAAAAACTTGGCCCTCCATAGGAAACCTCTGCCTGCCCTGGGCCCCCAAAGTGAGGACACAGAGACCCCAAATGCTCCATCCCACACACTCTCTTTGCCCTCTGACCTCCCTCAATGTCCCCTCTGACTTCCCTCAGTGTCCCCCCAACCTCCCTCAGTGTCCCCCCTAATCCCCTTGGTTTCTCCCCTGACCCCCTTTAGTTTCCCTTCTCCCTAACCACCCTGCTGCCATCTTTCCCTCTAGGTACCACTTGGATGATTGAGATTCTGAGCCTAATGCTGAAAGATGGGGATCCCTCTTGGTCACGCTCAGTCCCCATCTGGGAGCGGGCTCCCTGGTGTGAGACCTTCCTGGGCCCCTCATCCATCATGCAGTTGGCTGACCCCCGCCTCATCAGCTCTCACCTCCCCATTCAGCTCTTCCCCAAGGACTTCTTCAACTCCAAAGCCAAGGTAAGCCACACCCAGGGCTCATAACCGGCTACAAGAGAAGCCCAGTGAATGGAGTCCTGAAGCCCTGTGTTCAAATGCTGCTTCCGCCACTTAGTAGCACTGGGCCCTTAGACAAGTCATTTCATTTCTCTGGCCTCTATGGAGCATTGTGTGGGTCGTGAGGGTCCAGGGAAGCCCCGAATGCCCATCAAAAGTGCCAAGATGTTCTGGGCAGCCTGGAAGGGGGTTTGAGGCAGCTGGTGGAGAAGCTCAAGGTCAGACTGACTCCCCCATCCCCCAGGGTCCCAGGATCTCCTTGGAGCTCCCCCAGTCATGATCTCCGTCCCCTTCCTTCCCAGCCTTCCCTGGAGGGCCTGAGTCTTGTTCACCAGGCTTCTTGGCTAGCGATGCTAATTCATCTTAATGATACAATAGCTTTCATTTCTCTGGCCCTTTAAGGTCTCCCAGTAACAACTGGAGGTGGGCTCAGGCATCAGGTTGTGTTAAGTGACTTCTCCAAGGCCCCACAGGCAACAGGTGAAGGTGGGGGGCCCCTGAGCCCAGGCCTCACACTGCTCAGAATTAGGGGGTGGGAGGGGAGGCAAGGGGAGTGAGGGACCTGTGATTGAGCCCTTATTGGTTCCCTTAGGTAATCTATGTAAGCCGCAACCCCCGAGATGTCCTGGTCTCCCTCTACCACTACTCCAAGATCGCTGGACACCTCAAGGACCCAGGGAGCCTAGACCAATTGTTGCAGGATTTTCTCAATGGAGAAGGTGAGGATCAGCACAGGGACATGGGCCAGAAGAATGGAGAAGCAGCCACCAGGCTAAAAAGGCATAGTGATAGAGATGGGAACAGAGTCACAGGGAGACCAAGAGAGATAAAGAAACAGAGAGACCTGGGCGGACAGAGAGAAAGGAACAGAGACGCAGGGAGACAGAGATAGAACAGAGAGAGAAAAGCTTGAGACAAGCCCCTGCAGATAGAGAAACCCAGAGATCCAGGGAAACAGAGGCAGAAAAAGATAAAGATAGGAAAACAGAGATAGAAAGGGGAGAGAGAGAGAGAGAGAGAGAGAGAGAGAGAGAGAGAGAGAGAGAGAGAAGAGGGGAGGGGGAGAGGGAGAGAGAGGAAGAGGAGAGAGGAAAGGAGGGAGAAAAGGAAAGGGACGGAGGGAAGAGGAGAGGTGGAGACAGAGGCAAAGACAAGGACTGACTAAGAGAACATTGAGAGAGATCCAATGAGGAGGGAGAGACAGGCCCAGAGACACAGGGAGATTGGATGGAAAATGAAGTGGCTGAGGCAGGATAGTGCTAGGGGTGAGGGGTGGGAGTGGGAGAAAGACCTGATGTTGGAGGGTGATGAGGCCCTAGTGGGGCCTGGGGGGAGGCAGAGGGACCATGTGGACAGAAGGTAAAGGGCCGTCATGGACGACGGACTGGTCCCCTAATGTTCCTGTGTCCTTTCTCCCAATTCTCAGTACCATTTGGCTCCTGGTTTGACCACATAAAGGGATGGATGCGAATGGAGGGAAAGGACAACTTTTTGTTCATCACTTATGAAGAACTCCAAGAGGTCAGCAAACTGTCTTCCTGGACCTCTGCCCCTCCCTCCTTCAGCCCCTCACCTCCTGCACTATTCCCCTTCCCCTGGCTGGAGGGCAGGGACCAGGGATGTGAAATCACAAGTCCCCACTCCCTACAAATCCAAGTGGCCATAGGCAAGTCTTCTCTTTGGGCCTCAGTTTCCTGCTCTGTCAGATGGGCTTATTAGCCCATGGCTGTCCTGCCCAACAGAATGGATGTGGGGTTCTGAATGGGTGCTTAACAAACACCTAAGGTTATCAGTGATGACTCAGTGAGTGCAGTTTGACCCCCTGCAATATACAGGATGTTATGCTCTAGGCTAAGGGTACAGGAATGAGACAAGGCACAAGCTTTCCCCTCCAGGAGTCACCTCTCCAACAGACAATAAGACATGTCAATGAATACCTGTGGTAGAAGGAAGAACTGGGTAAACTGGGAATGCACCCCTGGGCACCACAGTTTAGGCAGGACATGGATAAACTGGAGAAAGTCCTGAGGCAATCAGTATGGGGAAAGGTCTCAAGGTCATGGCATTCAAGGAGAGGCAGAAGGAACTAGAACTCAGTGTGCCTCAACCAAGTGTGGATTTTGCCTTGAGATCAGGGACAGCTTCCTAATAATGAGAGTTGTCCCCCCACCCCAATCTCATTCTCTTTTCCTCAATGCTCTGTCTTAGTGATCTCAGCTCCCATAGAATCAATGATCATCTGTGTGCTAATGATTCTTCCAGCTACTTATCCAGCCCTGATCTCTTTCACTGTCCTGTTTTGTCATGTTGGCCAATCTGATAGGTGTGAAGTGGTACCTCAGAATTGTTTTGATTTTCATTTCTCTAATCAATAGTGATTTAGAGCATTTTTTCATATGACTATAGATAGCTTTAGTTTCTTCCTCTGAAAACTGCCTGTTCATATCCTTTGACCATTTATCAATTGGGGAATGGCTTGTATTCTTATAAATTTGACTCAGTTCTCCATATATTTTAGAAATGAGGTCTTTATCAGATATACTGGCTGTAAAAATTCTTTCCCATTTTTCTGCTTCCCTCCTAATCTTGGATACATTGGCTTTATTTGTGCATAAACTTCTCAATTTAATGTAATCAAAATTATCCATTTTGCATTTCATAATGTTCTCTGTCTCTTGTTTGGTCCTAAATTCTTCCCTTCTCCATAGATCTGACAGGTAAACTATTCCTTGCTCTCCCAGTTTGCTTATAGTATCAGTCTTCATATCTAAATCGTGTACCCATTTTGACTTTACTTTGCTACAGGGTGTAAGATGTTGGTCTATGCCCAGTTTCTGCCGCACTGGTTTCCAGTTTTCCCAGCAGTTTTTGCTAAATAGTGATTTCTTGGCCCAGAAGCTAGGGCCCTGATCTCTTTCTAACCTAGAGTCCCACATCTCTCACTGCTTGTTGGACATCAAAAACTGAGCTCCTTGTCTTTCTGGCTCCCTCCCCGAACCTTCCCCACTTTCTCACTTCCTCTTAACCGTCATCCCCACCCACCACAAGCTCATCTTCATTCTCGGCCCCTCCCTCTCACTGCTGCAATGGTCTAACTGACCTCCCTGCCCCACTCTGATCTCTCCTCCACTCAGATGCCAGAGTGAAGGTCTGACTATATCACACACCTCCTCCCTCCCCCAAGAAACTTCAGTGACTCCCTATGACCTGTAAGGTCAAATATAAAGTCATTATAGAGAGGCATTGAAAGCTCTCCCCAGTTAGTCTCCTTGCTACCTCCCCAGGCTGTTCACACTTCACTCCCCTCCAAACCCTCTAGGAACCTCCCATCACCATACCTTTGGACCAGCTGCGTCCTATGCTTGGAATGCTTTCTCTCCTTCCCTGATATCTTTGAAGGCTGAACTCCAAGGCACTTTGTTCAAGGGGCTTTTCCCTCTCCCCATTGTCCCAACCCCCAGCTGCTAATGCCTTCCATTTCAGACTCACCTTCCTCTACTCTGGTGTCTTGACTCCACCCACTTATTTACATGTTGTCTTTCCCATTAGACTGTGAAGTTCCAGAGGGCAGGGATTGGTTTTTCCTGTTTTTAGATCTCCAGAGCCTAGCCTAGTGCAGGCTTGATCAATGCTTGCAGACAAAAGGTAGGAGAGGCTACCTTGAGTGGTGGGAAGCTTCCCCTCACTGGAGACCTTCGAGGAAGGGCTGGCTTCCCACTGGTCCGGCTGGTTGTAGAAGGGATCCTTGTTCAAAGACGGGTTGCACAAGACACCTCCAAGGTCCCTCCCAGCCCAGAGCTTGTGATAGTTAAATGAAGCCACTTGAGAAATTACAGGTGGACAAAATCACCTCCACTTGGGGTTTGGGTGGTAGGGTGGGGAGCCGAGGAAAGGCTCCCTGGAAGAGGTGGTCCCTGGGCTGGCCTTAATCATCATCATAATCGCTAACATTTATGTAGCGTTTGTTATGTGCCAGGCACTGTGTTTGAGAGAAGAAAAGTACATCAGCTGGCTGAGAGGTGGGGGTCCTTTCCAGGCATGGGCACACTCTTGTGAAAGGGCAAGAAAATAAGAGAGGACAGTTCAAGGACAAGGGATGGTGTGGCCATCCACCAGAGGAGGGAGAGGAGATTGGGACGAGCTAAGGACTACAAAATCGGGCCATGCCAGGTTGGGGACCTTACATGCACCCTTCGCACTTTACTTGGATGGCCCTGGAGAGCTGCTGAAGGATGTGACCAGAGCAGATCATTAGCAAAATCATGGGGACAGCATGTCCAACAGAGTTTGTCAAGAAGACTGGAGGCAAGAAAGCCTGAATTAGAGAGGAGGGTGTGGGAGCTCATAGGATGAGCTGGGTGTGAGATTTATCATGGGGCTGCCATTGGCAAGCCTTGGCAGCTGCATGTGGGGCAAGGCACCCACAGGGGAGAGACAAAAGGGCCACACTGATCTGAGGGGCCAGCCTGGGTGACCGGGAACAAGGAAGGAGGGGCCCACTTAGGTGTGGGCCAGACTTCCTGAAGGCTCGTGGAGAAGTGGGTCTAGGGTAGCAAGAGTTAAAGACAGGCTGAATGTGAGGGACCTTCCACCAGGACCTCCCTCCCAACATTTCCCAAACAAGCCTCGGTTTCCCCCCTTCTCTGATCTTCTTCCCTGGTCCCTTCTCTTGGGGGGCATGGCCAGCCCTCCTCCCTGAGGGAAGGAGGTTCAGAATCTCAGCGTTCTCTCCTCCCTCCCCTTCCACATCCCCTCGAGGTCAATTGTGACTTTTCTCACAGCAGTCCCCAGACCACTTCTCCCCGTTTTCATGGCCACCATCCTTGCTCTGACCCTCATTGCCTTGGGCGGCTGCTAGCCCAATAGATTTAAGGCTCATTTCCTTTCTTCCACTCTCTCCTTTCCAACAAAAGATTTCATTTATTTGTCTTGAGGTTCTTCGATGCCTTTCCGTTCTTAAGTCAGTTAGCTCCCCAAATACCAACCCGGAACTCTTCCAATTACAAATGTCAAGGTTTCTACAGATGTGAGTAGAAGGCATCCCGAGGTCCTGTGTAAGCACTCAAGGTTACAATGCAGATGTTGGGTATAGGACAGCCCTACTCCACTCTAGAGCGAATGCCCCAAGCTCTTACCAGAGACCAGAAAGCATTCAGAAAGCTCATAAGGGGTTCATAATAGCCACTCAATGACCAACATAATTCTCCCTCTCCAGTAGGGCCTCCTGGTCCTTAGCTCTTCTTATTATAGCCCCACCCTATGAGTTGGGCTCCATCTGAAAGGGAAACAGATCTGGAGCTGCAAGATGGGCAACACCCTAATATTCATCTTTTACCTACACAGGGAAACGCTAGACATCCAGCCTCGTTACTACTGTGTAGGAGGCAGTGTTGGGTAGTGGTTAGAACACTAGACTTGGAGTTAAGAAGACATGGGTTTGAATCCTGCCTCAGACAGTCATTAGCTATGGAACCCTGGCAGAGAGAGCTGGGTGGCACAGTGGGTAGAGCACTGGGCCCAAAGCCAGGAAGACCCATCTTCCTGAGTTCAAATCTGGCCTTGGACACTTAATAGCTGTGTGACCCTGGGCAAGTCACTTGACTCTGTTTGCCTCAGTTTTCTCATCTGTTAAATGAGCTAGAGAAGGAAATGGCAAACCACTCCAGTATCCTGGCCAAGAAAAGCCTAAAGGGGGTCACAGAGAGTCAGACACAACTGAACAATAACAAAGACCCTGGATGAGTCACTTACCTTCAGTTTCCTCTTCTACAAAATGAGAGTGTTGACCATGATCATCTCTGAGGTCCCTTCCAATTTTATGTAGCTATGACCTTATGACCTTGGAGAAGGAAAATGCACCTGGGGCTGCTAGTCGCCATCCCCCTTTTTGTCGGACCCCGAGGGCAAGGTTCCCACCTGCTCCCTTCACTGGAGGCACACACAGAATTCTCATCTTTCTCCAAGAAACCCACTCCCCAGGAAATTGTCCATTTCTCCACAAAGAACTGAACTCGGGGGTCCCCTCTGAGGCAGCCTGCAGTACTGCTCACTGCCTGGCCAGCCTGCTTGCCACCTCCCCGTGCTTCTGTCGCTCCAAAGTCTGAAGGGAAAAGGGAGAAAAGGGGTCCGCAGCCCCAGCAAAGAAGAGCCTTGCCCCCAAATAACCCATCCCACAGCAGGGAGAGCCAGCTAGTGACTCCTGGAGGCAGCCCCACAAGCAGACTTAGTGAGGAGCTGCCTTCCTCCCCTCCACAAGGACCCCATGAGCATGCCAACACAGCGTCCACAGAAAAAGGGCTTCCTTCCCTGCCCTGGGAAGCTATCATGCTGATCTTTGAAGTCCCTTGATCACCGTGCCCCCACAAACACACAGAGAAAGCAAACACATCCAACATAGGGATGGCACATGCCCTATTCCACACCGGCAGTTCCCCACGTCTCTCTCTTGAGAGCAAGAAAGTGTGCTCGTGTACATGAGTTTAGCAGCTTCTGCAAGGCTGGTTTGCACGCATTACTGTCGCTATCGGCTATGCTGTTCTCTTGGGTCAGACTTCTTTGCAGCATCGCATACAAAAACCCCCACGTTTGAGTGAATTTTTTATTCTTACTTAATGAGAATCGCTAATATTTACTATTTTTTGTTCGTTCATTCGTTTTGGTCAAGTCTGACTCCACGTGACCCCTTCTGGGGGTTTTCTCGGCAAAGCTACTGGAGTGGTTTGCCTTTTCCTTCTCCGGCTCATTTAACAGATGAGGAAACTGAGGCAAACAGGGTCGAGTGACTTGCCCAGGGTCACACAGCTAATAAGTGTCTGAGGCTGGATTTGAACTCACAAAGAGGAGTCTTTCTGAGTCCAGGCTCTATCCACCCAGCTGCCCTAATATTTACGGAGCTCTTTGCAAATACTTGTTTTATCCTCGAAACCGCTCTGGGAGGTAGGTGCTATCATTATCTGCACTTTACAGATGGGGAAACTAAGGCAGACAGCAGTTAAGTGATTTGCCCAGGGCCACCCAAGTAGCAGGTGCCGGAGTGCCGATTTGGACTCTGGTTTTCATGACTCCAGTCTAGCGCTTTGCCTCTTGCGCCACCTAGTGGCCTCAGGCAGGCTTGTTTATATTCTGTCTTCTCAAGTAACACAGTTGCCTTTGGCCATCCCCAGCCCGCTTGGTTTCCCAAAGTGCGCTACTCGACTCTTTGACCTCCTTGTCAGTGGGGGGACCCCGCTCCATCCCTTCTCCTCACGGGCACCTAAATAGCCCTCCTGGTGCACAGGCCGGACCATGTTTATTCCCCCTGCTATGAAGTCTCCCACTAGTCTCCAAGAGGGTCATGAACTCCAAAGGGTTTGCATGCTTCGTATAACATCGAAGACCCTACCCGGACCCCGGAAAGAGGCAAGAAGGGAGCTGCATGCAGAGGCCGGGGACACAGTCTCTGGGCGTGCGTCCAGCGAGCTCTGAACCTGTGCTGGGTGCTCCGGCCACCAGCCGGCCCAGCTAGCCTAGGGATGTTGTCCTTCGGGGGGGCTGACCAGAGTGGGGCACAGCAGACTGGAAGGGACCCTAGCCTAATTCCCTTATTTTACGTCGGAGGAAACTGAGGCCCAACGCATCCCAGAGGAGATGACCCTGGGAGCAAGGTCACCTTGGGCTCCCACGGGGGAGGGGGGCCTGTGCCTCAGCGGCACCTCTTTGTCACGCTCGCCTTTGGCCCAGCCCCCGACAGCCCCTCTCTCCCACAGGACCTCCGAGGCTGTGTACAGCGCATCTCTGAATTCCTGGGCCATCCGTTGGAGCAGGCGGGCCTGGACTCTGTGGTGGAGAATTCAACTTTCCCGGCCATGAAGGAGAACACCATGTGTAATTACACATTGTTGCCCTCCACCCTGTTGGATCAACGCCAGGGGGCCTTCCTCCGGAAAGGTCAGGGGCAAGGCTGGCCCTAGTTGGGGAGGGGCGGGGCCGGGGGAGGGAGCACTGGGGAAAGGATTCGACAACTTTTCAGTTGGAGGAGGTCTCCATATCCAGGAAGGGAAAACAGGCCTAGAGGCGGGAAGTATTCAATGGAACATTTATTGATAATTCACTGGGCGCCCGGGCCTTCTGGGGGCCGGCTCACGAGGGTACAAAGTCAGCCTCTGCTCCCCGAGACTTCATTTCAACATGGGGGAAACTGAGGCTGAGAAGAAGGGCCTGGCTCAGGGTGTCTGTGACACAGCCACGATTTCAGCTGAGCTGTCCCGGGCTGCTCGAGGGGCACAGAGGGCAGGAGAGGGCCAGCTCTAACTGCTCCCCCTTCCTGTTGCCCCAGGGGTATGTGGTGACTGGAAGAACCACTTCACTGCCGCACAGTGTGAAGTCTTTGACCAAGCATACCGGGAGATGAAGCAGGGCCTGAAGACCACCTTCCCTTGGGACAAAGACCACGGGGACACCAGCCCCGCGCTCTCCCCAGGGGCCTGGGACCTGTAACCCCTGGAAATAAACACCACACCAGCCCCTGACCCTCGCCCCGAGTCCATTCCTGAGCCAGGTCGGGGGCTGGGGCAGGCGTAGACACAGAACGGAGGGGAGCTTATGGGGGAGGCCAGGCCCGAGAGATGTCACCAGGGTCGGGTATGGGTGGAGGCAGAGCTAGGGCCCAGCATCCAAATAGGGGCGGAGGCTACCAGGAAGGAGGGTGCAGCAGGTGCCAAAGGCGTGGGAAGGCCCCTGAGTCAGAGCCAGGCTCGGGGTGTGCCTGGGTCCTTGCCAAAGGTGGGGGGAGGGCACCTGGGTGGCAGGCCCTCCCAGGCAGGGGCCCTGGACACCAAGGCATGCCTCAGCGCCTGGGGGGAGGGCAGCTTCCCAGCTTCCATCCTCAAGGAGCCCAAGGTTGGCACTGGCTGACCACCCCCTCCGTCTGCTCCTAGCAGGCTCTCCGTCCAGGGTGAGCCCCCTTAGGGAAGGCCCAGGCCTTCTGGCTCTCCCTGCAGAGAGCTCCTGGGACAAGAGCAGTGGTCACTGGTGTGGGTGGGCCCAGTCGGGCTGCCCGTGGCCTTGTTGCCCGGGCTCCTCCCCGAGTCTCCGATGGGCTGGCAATGGGTAATGGAAGCGCCCGGGGGTCACGGGCCAGGCAGGGGTGGCCCACCGTCGCACCAGGGCTCGGGGATCCTCACTCGCCCCGCGCTGCCTCATCAGAGTCATGGCGGGCGTATCTTGGGTGGCCCATGGAGTCTTTGGCTGGAGTGGGGGAGAGAGGGCCAGAGTGAGCCACGCAGAGGTCCTGGGGACCAGGCATCGAGCAGAGAGAAAGGGGCTGGGGCTGGGGGCAGGAGGGGCAGAGGGGGAGCAGGAAGCAGGTGGCCGACGGTGCCTGGGAAGGTAAATATTTGCCGAAGGAGGGAGTGTTGGATGAGGGCAGCTGGAGATGAGGAGCCCAGCCCTGTCTGCCCAGCCCTGTCTGCCCAGCCCCCTTCGCCTCTGGCGTCGTCTTCCCCTTCTAAGTCTCCCCTCATCTCTACGTTGCCACCTCGGCCAGCCTTGCCTCTAGGCCCCCTCCTCCCAGCTCTTCCTCCGTGGCCCTCAGCCACTTACCTCTTTCCCCAATCTCCCATCCCCATCACTGGACTCAGACAACTGGGAAAGGCAGCTCAAATCCCAGAGGGACCGGCTGGGCCGGGGAGAGGGGCCGCTAGTGGGCCGGACCCTCTGGATATTCCTCAAGACATCGCTTAGGGCCGGCCCAGTGCGTGAGGGCCTCTTGGAGTCCTCAGAGGTCTGCCAGGTGCCCAGGTAGTGTTGGGGCGCTTCCTCCTGAGGCGGTAGCAAGACAGGGGCCACGGAGCGGCGGCGGGCGATGTGGTGGCGGCCCCGGGCCAACTGCACTCCCTCCAGGACGTTGAGGAAAGGGCCCGAGGAAGGGGAAGGGGACAGCGGGTGGGAGGTGGCATAGAGTGTCCGGAACTCTCTGTCAAAGGCCTCCCAAATCTCCCCGGTCAGCAGGGTTACCAGGTTCCGGTGCAACCGAGAATCGCTCCAAGTAAAACTGGAGAGAAGAGGGATCGTCGAGGCAGCTGAGAATGTCCATCCCCAAGCCTGCAAGCCCCACACCCACACCCAAACACACAAACGCTCCTCCCTGCTCGGGAGGGAGCGGGGAGGACATCAGCTTAGAACCTCACGAGTAGCCCCTGTGATCTGAGGGGGGACCAGGAGGTCATGGCTCTGTCATGTTACTGAATTCCACATTATCAATGGGATGAGGGGGCTAGCGAGGGGCTGAGAGGGAAGGTGGCACTGGTGTAGGGGAAAAGGCAGGAGGGGACAGTGTTCAGACGTGTGGCAGCCCAGGCAGACAGATGCCCAGCGCTTAGAGATTGAGACAGAAAGCTGACAAAGAGTGTGGGGGCAGGAGAGATAGTGCCAAGGCAAAGCCTTTGTACTGGGGCTCTGTGCTCAGAAGGTGTGAGAACCCTACCTCCTGGCACCTGGGCTGCTTTGAGGCCTGGCACTGGCCAGGACTGTGATCCAAAGGAGACCCCCCATTGCACGGGCACCCACAAGCATGATCAGGACTGCCACAGGCTTCTCCCATCTCACCACGGAGCCACCCACACAGGGATGACCTGCAGCGTGCTGCACCAGTGGGTGCACCTGGTGGGATCTGGTCTGGGGCTGCCGGGAGCCCAGGACAAGGTGAGGGGAGGAGGGAGCCCACTCCGGGCGGGCTCTGGGCACTGGATCAAAGTGTGTGCAGGCAGAAGCTGGGCGCCTGGCTCAGGTGGGCTGGGGGAGGGAGCTGGGGGGCAGAGGCGGGGCTGACACCTGTAGGAGCCCGTGATGACGCAGTCTCCATCCACCATCACAAACTTTTCTCTCACGTCCCCCGTTACATGCTTCTTCCTCCGGCTCTGGAAGCCACAGCCTCTCAGGACACGGACCTCGAGGTTCTGAGGAGGGGAGCAGGGACCCTCTGGGGTCAGCTGCAGCCTCCCCTGCTGCCCCCCGGCCCCGGGCGCCAGGGGTCAGGAGGAGGAGGAAGGGGCGTGGGGCTCAGAGCTGGGGAGGGGGCTGTTACCTCCGTGGCTCGGGGATTCACCCCCAGCTGCTGGGCCAGGGCCAGGAAGGCAGGGAGGTGGCGGTGGCCCAGGAGGATGTAAACGGGAACCCCTCGGCGGGTGGCGGCCTCGCGAAGGTCCATCAAGAGGTCGGGGTCCGTGAACACGTCCATGACCACTGCTATCAGCTGGGGGGGGGGGAGAGGGAAGTAGCAGATAGCTGAGCCCCTGTGGGGCAGGCAGCAGGGGCAGGGGCCGTGCAGGAACCCACCTTCTGGGCTTCCTGAATGGTCTTCCTCACCAGCTCCTTGATGGAGGGGTCCCCGTCCCCAGGGGGCTGGGTATAAAGTCGGGCTCGGGTGATCCCCTTCCACGGCTGAGACTCGGGCCAGCCCAGGCCCAGGTCCGGAGGCGGCTCATCAGAGCGGCCTGGGAAGTAGGTCAGGCTGGCCTGCTCGGGGACGTCGGTCCCGCGCTGCTGGTTCGGGGCCCCCTCGTCCCCAGGCCCCCAGTCCTCTGCCTGCGCCTCCAGGCTCTGGACCTCCTCAGCTGCCAGGAAAGGCGGGAGCTTCTCCCGGAGCAGGCAGGAAGCGAAGGCCCCAGCTCCGTCGCTCAGGAGGGTCTCCAGGGCCAACCTGTGGCCTTCCGAGTACAGGAGGGTTGGGTTTGCCTTGCCGGGGCAGGTCTCATCCGGAGCCCCCTCCCCAGCTTCGTCTAGAGCTGCCAGCTGGGAAGCTGCCATGGCCTTGGCCCTCCCAGAACGGGACCCTGCCCTATCTCCCGCTGACCGCCCGACGGGGCCGTCTCATCTCCTTACATCTGCATCTGTGCCTAGTGCCAGGGGGCTCCCCCCGAGCCTCGGGCGTTGTCCCACCACGTCTGAACCAGCAACAAGCGTTTCTGGGAGGCCCGGCAGGCGACTCCTTGTGCTCGGCCCTCCTCGGCTGTCAGGGGACCCCTGCTCCAGCTTGGCCGGTTGCCAGCGTGGCCAGCTCCGCAGCGGCCCTTCCCCTCAGAGGACACTCTGCCGCGGCCCCCTCCACACGCACCCCCTCCAAGACAAGCCTCAGCCCCTGCTCTGGAGGGACTCCAGAGGACTCAGGAATTCCAAAACCTTCGCATTGAATGGGAGAAAGGGGCAAAGTCCTGGAGAAGAAAGCAAAAGGAAGGAGTGAGCCCCAGCCAGCCCGGCTAGCTTCTTACCCTTCTTCTAAGACCCAGAAGCAGGGTCCCCCAGGAGGGGCAAGGTCCCAAATCCCTCAGGGGATGGAGAAGGGGCCGAGAAAGCTGAAGGGGCTCGCTCAAGATCCTACACAGCTCCCAGAGACCCCCTTCCCCAAGTAACGCAGCAGCCATCCTGGTAATAAACAGGCTGGAAACCCCAATGCCCCCTTTCCAAGGCCCAACCCAGGAGCCCCTCCTTCAAATAACTTCCCCTCACGCAGGCCTCCTCAGCGTCCACCGCCACAGCCCTAAGCAATGACCCCAGGTCTCCTGTGACGCCCCCCCCCCCAGTGCCCATAACCCCTCCCTCTCCTGACTCTTCCTCCATGCTAAGTAAAACACAAGGTTTCTCCTCTCCCTTAGCATGAGAAGCCGGTCCCAGGGTTCCTCCTGATCATCTGGGTCCCCTTGCCTACCATTTCATTCATTCTAGTGCCGGCCAGCCGGGGGAGGGAACAGGCCAACAGAGACCCAGCCCTGCAGTGTAAACAGAGAAGGGTCTGGCCTTGAGGGAAGCCAGAGGACCCCAAGCACCTACAGAGAAGGCAGCTCACCCGCCGCTCAGTTTCTGCTTCCAAGACAGCCAGATCCCATGTGCCCTTTAGGGCCCGAGCCTCACCCCTTTGAACCCTCTAAAGGACCCGTGGTCCCAGTCCTTTACAAGAATCAAGTCAGTAAGACCAGGAAACGGGCATGTGACAAGGAGGGGCAGAGACACCGGAGGTGGTGAGGGTGGGGCAGGTGCCTCAAAGGAAGGGCAGGACACCTGGGTCCTTGCCAATGACCGCCCTCCCATGCCAGCCTGCAGAGCCAGTGAAACCCAAGACCAGCACACGTCTTCAGCTAACTTGGCCCAGGTGGCCACTCATCATGAAACCCGGGTGGCTGTAGGACCCTCCACCCCCAGCTCCCAGAGTCAGCACAAAAACACGCAAAAGCAAAGTGGAGTCCAGAAATCTTTAATATAACAAGGAGGAAGGGAGTTAGTTTTTGTAGCCTCGGCTGGCACGGCGGCCCCTGGCACGCTCGAACTTTCGGCCCTTGGATCGGACATATGGTCTGTGAAGAGGAGAAATGGAGTGTGAAGTTCAACTCCCACCCCCCAAGTGGCCCCACCCTTCCCCCACCACCCTCCTCCTCTCCATGAGACTCACTTGGTGTGGCTGTGGGGAGTGCCCGGTGCCTTCCCAAAATGCCTGTATACCTCCCGGCCCTTCCGGGGACCAGACAACAAGACAGTGCCCCGGCCCTTGGGCGAGCTCATGGCCAGCTGGTCAAAGGTAAGGATCTTCCCACCAGCCTTGAGGATGCGATTGCGGGCATTGCTGGTAACACGAAGGGCACACACCTGCTCCAGGGAGGGAAAAACTCAGTAAGGAGGGTGGGGGGGGTGGAGAAACATCCCAAATAAGCCCCCCCCCCAAGAGTCCAGGCCAGAATTGCCCAGGGACCTGCTCCACACCCAAGAGGATGCCCTCTTGCCAGCTCTTTGGAACCCTAGAACCCAATCACGGTGCCAACCTTCAGCTTGGGGACATCCTGAATCCTCACATCATCTGTCACAGTCCCAACAACCACAGCTGTCTTGTTCTCCCGGCCGGGCAGCTTCATTTTCCTGATCTGAGGAAATACGGCCAAGAGGAGGCAGGAGATGTAAAATCAAGATCCATCTCCACCACTTTGCTGCCTGGTAGCTCCAGCTTATCCCAGAAGAAGCTGCAGCACCTCAGGATCTGGGGATATTAGGGTCCCTAGAAACCAAAACCGTTTCCCTAATTTGCAATGGGCAAAATCGAGGACTTCCCAAAGAGAAGCTACTTGCCCAGGGTCCCCAACATATACCAACTGGGATTAATTAGGTGGCCCATGGATAGAGCACCAGGCCCATAGTAAGGAAAAGCCGGAGTTCAAATCCAGCCTCAGATACTTCCTAGCTATGTGACCCTGGGCAAGTCACTTAACCGGTTTGCCTCAGTCCCTTCACCTGTAAAATGGGGATAACAAGTCACGCCTCCCTAGGATGGTTGTGAGGATCAAATGAGCTGTGCACACAGTAGGTGTTACGGAAAAGCTAGTTAATGTGATTATCTAAGATCTTTCTCGGGCGTTGGAAAGCTTCTCAGTGATAGGGACCTTTCCCCTTCCAGAGTGCGGGGGGCCACTTCATCCCTGGAGACCCGGGCTTACCATTCGTGACAGGGACAGAGGGGGCCGGTTGGTCCGGCTCATGAACAGCCTTTTCAGGACAACCTTGTTGAAAGTTGAGTTGGTTCTGCGAGCCAGGAACCGGTAGAGCTGGACGGCAGGGAGGCAGAGGGGGCGGCCTGGTCAGGGCCCTCGAAGTTGGGACCACTCTCACCCCGCGCCCTCCGGACCCCGGGCGATCACGCTGCCGAGGCCCCCTCCCTCCACAAACTACAGCTCCCACAATGCCCCGGGGGCAGCAGGGCAGAACTACAACTCCCGGCAGCCCACGCGGCGGCGAGCGGCTCCAGGGCCGCTGGGAGCCGTAGTCTGCCCAGCTCGGGCCGGGCCTCACCTTCACCAGCAGCCGCAGGTAGATGTCCTGGCTCTTAGGCTCCTTGCGCCGGACTTTCCGGTCCTTGTTATGTCGGATGTCGACTCCCTGCCCCGCGAAGAAGCAGAGGGATCTCTAAGCGCTTATCGCTTGGTGTTGGGGGGGAGGGGGTGCCGGTACGGCCGGGAGCGGGGACCACGGGATCCCCGAGCGCTTAAAGGGCGGCAGGGGCAAGACATGGCCTCGCAGGGCTGGAAGCGGGGCCAGGCAGGCGGGTCCCCAAGGGCGGAAGGGTGACAGAGGCCGGAGAGATCTCCAAGCGCCCGGAGCCGCCCGCATCTCCCCCTCATGCCCCCCCAAACCCCCTTCTCGAGTCATGTCGGGCCCGCCGCCCCCCGCCAATGGGGGCCCCAGCGGAAGCTTGGAACGCCCCGGGCCCGAACTAGCTTGGCTCCGGCCCACTGCAGCCCCGCGCCGAGCCGATGCCGGCGGATTCCCTTCGCACTTACCATGCTGGCGCCTCACCGAACACCGGCCCAACCAGGAAAGACCGACGGGCCGCGGGGCACGCTGGGAAGGCCACCCCCGAGGCCGGCGTGCCTGACGTCGCGGCGGGATGGGCGGGCACGTCGAGGCGGCCCCGCCTCTCTGGCGCGCAAGGCCTCCTCTCTATGGTTGCCCCTCCCTCCCCGCTTTCCCTCCAGTGGTACGGGGAGGGGGGGGCGGTGCGTCGCGCAGGGCGAGCGGCGGCGCTCTTGCTCGGCTTCGCCTGCATCTCGGTGGTCCTGGGAGGCCCTGCTGGCTGAGGGGCGGGGGCGGGCAGGGAAGGCGCAGACGCTTCCCGACAATGGGCGGAGCGCAGCCGACCCGCTGGGGTCTGGGTTGCCCGTCCAGTCCTGCCAGCTGTCTAACCGCAGGCCCTCCCGAACATCCTGGGTCCCCAGAGCCCCAGCCCCCACTGCAGGCCCCGGGCTCACCCCGTGCAAGGTCGGAGTCTGACCCCTGTGCCACCCCCAGCCCTGGCCAAAGTGGTCAGACTGGCCTGGCCAGCCTGGGGGAGGTGGAGCAGGGAGAGAGAGAGAGACATACACACGCAGGGAGAGAGACAGGGAAAAACACAGAGACAGACAGAGAGAGGGGGGTGAGGGACAGAGACAGAGAGAAACAGAGACAGACAAAGAGAGGGTTGTGTGAGGGAGAGAGAGAAGGGGTTGTGAGGGAGAGAGAAAGACAGAGAGGTTGTGTGTGAAGGAGAGGCAAACAGAAAGAGGGGGGAGGGAGACACACACACACACAGACGGGGAGACTAATAGAGACAGAAAGTTCAAGACACAGAGACAGGAAGAGAGAAACAGACAGAGGCAGAGAAGCAAGGCAGAGACACTGAGACAAAATCAAGAGATGCAGAGAAACCAGGGCAGAGCCAGAGAAGCGATGCATGAGGAATAAAGAAGCAGCTAAAAAGAGACACCGAGACAGAGTCAGGGATGCCGAAAAAGGATAAGACAACACAGAGAGATCAGGACAGAGATAGCCAGAAACAGGAATAAAGAGACAGAGAGAGACAGAGAGAGAAATCGAGGCAGAGGGTGAGACAGAGAGGAGACCAAGAGACAGAAACAAGCAGAGCTCAGATTCTCCCCATCCCCAGTGCCTCCTCACTCCTCCAAGCCCATGTTGCTGTCAGGGCCCTGGACCCTCCATTCCTGCCCTGCGTCCCCACAAGCTGAGGCTGAGAGCAGCTGGACGGAAGAGAGACAGCCAGCCCCCTGCCGCCAGCATCAGGTCCAGGTTTGAATGAGCTGGCTCAAGTCTGAGGAAGTGAAGGCTGGGGATGGGGAGTGGGCGGGTACTCCTCCTTCTGCACTCTTTGAGACTGGCTATCTGCCTGACTTTCTGTGACTCTGTCTCTCAATGTCTGACACCCCCTGCCCGCTTTTGTCTGTCTCCCAATACATCTGTTTTAACCAGTGTCTCTGAGGTTTTGTTATTGTTCAGTCATGTCTGACTCTCTGGGACCCCATTTTAGGGTGGAGTGGTTTGCCATTTCTTTCTCCAGATCATTTTACAGATGAGGAACCTGAGGCAAATAGGGTGAAGTGACTTATCCAGCTAGTAAATATCTGAGCCCAGTTTGTAACTCAGAAAGATGAGTCTTCCTGACTCCAGGCCCAGCTAGGTGCTCAGTGCTCTATGGCACCACCTAGCTGTGGGGAAAGGGCCCTAGGTTCCAGTGATGCTGCGGTCACCACCTGGTTATGTGACCTTAGTCTGGTCCTTTCCCCTGTCTGAGCTGCAGCTCCCTGTCCTAGAGCCTTAGCTGGGAAGGAGATGACTGTAGGTTATGTGGCCCACCTTAACGTGCTATATGTAGGTAGGTAGCATGCTAGTGGTTGCAGTGAGTCTCTGCATCATCTCTCTGCTCCTCCAGTATTCAACCCCTCCTGTCTCTGAGTCTGTGTGTCACTGTAACACAGAGGGTCTGTTTTCCTGCTTCTGGGTTTCAAGCTCTGTGGGAATGTGCCCCCCCCCCCCCGGGCCCAGGGCCTCTGCTCTTGGCCGGTGCCTCATTGTCTCTGTGGGTGCCCAGGGTGTATCTCTGCTTCCACTAAGTCTTCTCCTGCCTTGTCAATTTCTGTCTAAGTGTCTTTGTCTGTTTCAGGGTCTCCCTCTATTTCAGGGTCCCTGTCTGTTTCAGGGTTTCAGTTTGTTTCAGGGTCTGTGTTTCAGGGTCTCTGCCTGTTTCAGGGTTTCAGTTTGTTTCAGGGTCTCTGTCTGTTTTGGTCTTAGTTTGTTTCAGGGTCTCTGTCTGTTTCAGGGCCCCTGTCTGTTTCAGGGTCTCTGTTTCATAGTCTCAGTTTGTTTCAGGGTCTCTGTCTGTTTCAGGGTCTCTGTTTCAGGGCACCTGTCTGTTTCAGGGTCTCTGTATCATGGTCTCTGTCTGTTTCAGGGTCTCTGTTTCAGGGTCCCTGTCTGTTTCAGGGTCTCTGTCTGTTTCAGGGTCTCTGTTTCATGGTCTCAGTTTGTTTCAGGG